CCCTCTCACCTGTCAGCCCCTCTCACCTGTCAGCCCCTCTCACCTGTCTCAAATTCTAATCACGCCAGGGGTTTGTCATTCTGTCTCGTCAGTGTCCCTATTTATTCAGCGTCTCTGTGTTTTCCTTTGTCCGTGGATTGTGCGGGAAAGCCTGTTACGTTCTGTTCCTCCCGTCGTTCCTCCCTGCATGTAAGTTTTTGTAGCGTTTGCTTTTGTTTTTCTTGTTAATAAGTTAGTTCTTTATTTTCACCTCAGAGTTGCTTGTGTCTGCCTGCACGTGGGTTCTACATTAAATCTCAGAACATGATAGTTGTAGATATTGGAGGTCAGTCTGGTGGCCAGCTTAAATCAGGGTCACTCCAAATGTCAATCGCATGTACGTCCAATAATTAATTTTGTCAAGTTTCATAAAAAATTGTCCAGTAGTTCATGGGGTATTTTGCAAACAGACAAATACACTGACTGCCTTCCATAACAGTGGGGGTTAATCATGTCATGACTCGTTAAATTTAACAGCTGGGAATCATTTGAAGCTCAGCAACAAAATTTGTTTAATCAACTTTTTTTACAGGCATATGTAAACACCAGCATAGTCCCACATCATTTTATAGGAATATTGCAAAAATAAAGACAAAGAAGGCTAAATAAAAAGGTGTGTCCAATCACTGCTCTTAACAATCCTTTCATTTGTTTTTAGTGGCCTTATTTACTTTTAAAATCTCTTTAAATCAAATAAACCACGTGATTAGAACTAGTAAAACGTCACGCATCATTTTCATTTATCCCACATCTTCTATCATATACTATTCTATTCATATTCACGTTCTATAATTTTTACTGATGAGTTCCAGCCCAGTTGCAAAAGACAAAAACAAAATAGGACAAAAAAAAACAACCAAGAACCTAAGTTTTAAACACTGTAAGAAAAGAAACAGTCAATTTGTGTTCATTAGCTTAAATACAAAGATTTTCATTTCATGCTTTTTCATTTTAAACAACAAAGCTGTAAAAATGACAGAGTTTGTGTAATGCTGAAAAAGGACTTGAACAGGATGCAGAGATAATAATGATGGATACAGAAAAGCACATAATTTGACTCGGTCTCCTGGGGTGTGATGAACGTGTTGGTAACATATTGTGTTCACAGTTTCAAAAGACTGAGTGAGGAAAAAAAACATAGCTTTAGTGTGAAATGCATAAAAAAAATATGCAGCTAAAATTGGGCTTTTAGCAGCCTGAAGGCAAAGCTACTATTTTTAGAGCAATTATGCCTTTTTGCATGTAGCTGAAGTGACAATTATGAGCCAGCTGACGTTGTTTTAAAACCCAAACAGAAAGACTGCAGCTGTCTGAGGCTGGATATCATCCTGCACTTTAAAATTTGGGTTTGATGTTGTCCTCCTGGTTTTATGCAACTTCATGTGAAAAATAAAAGCTGGATCTCACTCAGAAATCAAACTTTCCACACAATGGCGGAGAGCTAACGTAGCCACACCTTAACGCTCAACTTTAATATTTATAATTCCAAACAGGACCATTATTGATCATAAATGAAGTGAAGAGTAAGGTCATTTTCTGAAGGACTTCTAAAATCCATTTCTCTTTGCAGTTAGGAGTCTCTTCATGTTGGGTTTAAAACATTTCTAGACTGGCTCCACTTTAAACCTCAAATCTTCTCCATCTTGTCAGCCTGTTTTAGGAATGCGCATCCTTCCATTATTCTTGTTGAGCTTATTTCCCTTCAAATAACAGTCTTTCCCAAACTGAAAACTATTTCACTATTTACCACAACATTTGTGTGTTCGTGTGCGTGGATCTGTGCCCATAAATTGGACGGTCATCTAAAGCTTTTAAAAGTGGAGCATGTTTTACTAGAAGTAGTAAAAGCTACAGCCCTGAATATAGGTGTGTTATAGTTATAGTTTTTTAAGAAAATAGTAACTTCCTTTGTTACGCAACAAGAATAAAGATGTGGAACTGTGTGGCGTTTGGGTGCGAGGGTGCTGAAGCACTGATTAATAGGTGACAATAGAAGTACATGCATATCAAAACCAATGCAAAAAAAGGAATAAAAACTAATTTTATTAGTTCTGTGTATGTTTGAATCCAAAAAACATCTTGATATTATTAGGGTTTGTAAATATAGGATTTAAACAAATTAAATAATTTTAAACAAGATTTGAATGTTTTTTACAACATGTGGATCATTATAATTTAATCATGTCTGAATAAAGATAAGAGTCACTAACCTAAAAAATATCATGGGTTTCACGGAGGTTCATATCCAGAATGCAGACTGGACTTGAGGTTCTCAAAAACAAAACTTCTTTATTAAATAACAAAATCAAAATGCTGACAAGGCAGCAAAGCTTGCAGGATCTCGAGGAAGGTGCATGTTAACAACACTTAAAGGCATGAAAAGAACCGGACAGCATCGGAACGATGCTTAATACTCAAATGGCTCGGGAACCAACACAAGGGCAATATATTAAACCACCCTAAATATCTAATAACCAATAGTTGAGCAGAATTACCAAACAGGACCAGGTAAGAAGTGGGCGTGGCAGGACAGAGGAGCAGAAACATGGCGAGTCCCAGAAAACATGCGGGAGAACCAAAACTGATCATAAATCAGAAGTAGACAAAACTACACTGGAGTGGAAACAAACTCAACGACTGATCAGATAAACAGCAGAGCTAAACACAGAGAAGATGCAAAAACAGAATGACCCAAAGGGAATGTAAACCTGATCTGAAACATAGAGGTCCATCAAAAATGGTATTTTGAAAAATTTTAAATACATCTGTGTCCCTCAGTGGACTTAAATCAGCACAACAAAAGGCTGCAGAAATTATGCGTTCACGGTTCAGAAAGTGCTCAGCTGTGAGAGATTCCTCTGGAGATACACGGCATTTATTTTTGGGTCAGCCTTCCCAAACACCTCAGAATAGAGGAATTTGTGACATAAAGAAAAAGGCGGGACACAGAAGTGCCAGGGTAATTCTCGCCGACACCATCTGCACTCTGTAATTGGTTTTAGCAAATATGAGGCATCGGCAGAGAGACAGATGGCGAGATGAGGAGAGAAACTACGTTTGAGTGAAAATTGCTTTCACACTTTATTTTCGAGGTGTGTGTGTGTGTGTGTGTGTGTGTGTGTGTGTGCGTGTGTATGCGTGTGTGTGTGTGTGCTCAGCTGGGGTTATGACATCATCGCATAAAGAAGTTCGAGTGATGACAGTTTTGGGCTGAGATGCAAAAACCTGCCCACACATCACTGAAGGATGACTGCCAAGTAAAATACCACAATATGACAAAAATAAATACTGCAGTTTCATGTAAATATCCAGATTATCACATTTTAATGACGTCTAAGCTCCCTTTAGATTATTTCATTTTGTGATGAAATTACGAGTGGCACCATTGGTTAAGCTGTTGCATCTCAGTGAGGAGGTTGCCGGATCAAATCCCAGCCCGGGGACCATTCTGGGTTGAGTTTGCATGTCCTCTATGTAGGCCTGTCACGTTAACAAATTTTACTGGGCAATTAATTGTCTCAGAAATTATTGCGATAAACAATAATATTGTTTGAAATTTGACAGTAATTAGTAATTATTGTCAAATTTAAGAAGAAAGTTGAGTTAATTTTATTTTGCATGTATTACCTTTTTTTGACCAACGAATGGCAGTATGAGACTGTTTGAACCGAAGGATGGATAGTGAGGGAGCGAACAGTGAGAGGGAGGCCCCTTGACGCAACATGGGCTGTCTCATTCCTTTTTTTCCGGTTCTCAAAATGGCGGACGCTTGGTGGTTTGAACTCTTTAGCATAGCATTTGTCACACAAAGCGTTTAATTTAAAAACTTCAGTAAACAAGTTCTCAGCTTCTTTTTGCAAAGAAAAACAACTTTTTACACAAAGGCACAGGTTTCAACCATGAATTTTGGAGCTTCGACAAGAGGGAGGTTTTTTCCTCGAGGTCAGCCTGTTAGTTTAACTTGTAAGTGGACTGTACTTATATAGCACCTTTCTATCTTATTGAGATACTCAAAGTACTTTATACTACAATCTGTGTCCTCATCTACCCATTCATACAGCACTCTACTAGATCTCTACAAAGCTAATTGAATAACTCATTCTAAATAGACTAATCAGAGCTTTATCACATTCATACACCGATGGGACACACATCAGAGGCAACGAGGGGTTCAGTGTCTTGCCCAGGGACACTTCGGCATGCGACTGCTGGTGGATTCGAACCCCCAACTCTTGCACTGGAGAACGACTGCTCTAACCACTCAGCCACAGCTGCCCATGCGGGGTATTGGATAAAGTTTTCGACTAGCAATAATCGTGGCTCGGATCAACCTCACAGGCTACGATACTGCCACTGCGTAGCTTAGCTTCTCAGCTTAGCTGCTTTTAACGATCCAAAAACGCGATTTTGGACAGTTAAAATGGATTTTAAAGAGAAAAGAGAAAGGGAGGGGTCAGTGAAGAGCACCGGAGTTGAGTTTTGTCATCCAGTATTTTCGGTAGAAAGAGAGAGACACGAAGAAACGGTAAAGCCAATAAATGAAAATGAGGTCGATAGTCATTTATCATGCGATTAACTGATTTATTGTGACAGGCCTATCTCTATGTGCATACATAGGTTTTCTCGGGTAGTCCGGTTTCCTCTCACAGATATAAAACATGCATGTTAGTCTGATTGGTAACTCTAAATTGTCCCTAGATGTGAGTGAGAGAGTGAAAGGTTGTCTTGTTTGTCCCTGTGATGGACTGGAGATCTGTCCAGGGTGTACCCCGCTTCTCGCAGTGATGACTGGACATGGGCACCAGTGATCCCCGTGACCCGCAAAGAAAGAAGCGGGTAAATATAATGGATGGATGAAATTAGAAGTACTCGAAGAAGGAGGTATGTATAGCAAGGATCGGCCCCCTGGCCTGCATACTAAACTTGTAAAAAATAAAAACACATGATCTGTTAGTGCTGTGAATATGCTTTGTGGATAACTCAGGCACTACCAAATTTTAGCTGGATCTCTGTCAAATAGAATAAGCAAAAGCTAATTTTGTGTTTTCAAGGTTGATTAGATGTCAGAGACATTTTAAATGGGGTTTTGCAAATGGATCGGTAATGTGTCTCAATTCCTTACTCGAACCTATAGCAAAAATTGAAATGGGACTGGATTCTCTACAGCTCATTGCTCAATATTTTTTTCTACATTTGTCAGAAGTTTGGTGGTTTGGGCGTATTATCAGAGTAAATGGATCAGGAGTGGGTGATGCGTGCTAATCTGATCAATTCCTAGCTATAACATAAACCCATATAGATTTTTACTCTAATTCAAAATAAACGAACTATTTGCAGAGATTCAAGCGTGAATTTATTTGATCCCCCAAACGTTTGTTTAACATGTTCCTAATCCAGTTACCGTGCTACTACAAGTGTGTGTCTATTTCTCTCTCTGTTCTCAAATAAACCTCGACTCTTTGGTGGGTTCTTGGTCTCAGCTGCAAACTTTTGCACATTGAGAAGCAGCTAAAGATGCAGAGGGACACCAGGTGGTGTTTGATGGCACTCGTGTTGCACTGCATGCTCTCTGTCTCAGAGATAATTCACACCTAACATCTGCTCTGCATTGGCTTGGAATCATTTTAGTGATGCCCAGAAAAATAAATAAAAAAACACTTTGAAGCTGTTTTCAGCATACCTGAAAACATGAAGTGAGGATTGAAATTATCTGAGTCCATGTCTTGGTAGATTTTGTCTAAAACTTTTCTTTAAATTATTTATTTTTTCATAAACTGGAGGACTGTCAGGAGAATATCTGATGCAGTCCTGATATCAGAGCTGGAAGGGGCTCAGATATGAAAAACAAAATGTTCTTCTCATGAAGCAGCAAGTGAATCTGTTTTAACACACTCGTTTTGTCAGATTTCTATACAACCACCTGCATCTTGAGCTGGAATAAAATCTGCCATGGTTTCATCAGAAAGATGAAATAAAGGAAATGACAACCTGTTGGTGTGAATGCTGATTCAGCTTCACCACGTTTGTTTTTTTATTTGTGGAACAGCTGATTGCCCGGTACTTGATCTAAGAGGTCTGGACGATTCATGACGTACAAGATGGTCTTTAAGTATGGTGGAGCTACACCATTTAGTGATTTATGAACAAGGAGGAATATGTTGTGATGTATTCTGTAAGTAACTGGTAACCAGTAGAGTGAATGAAGAGCTATGGAGTTACTATTTCGTCTTTGTTATGACTGGCGGCTGCATTCTGGAATAGCTGGAATGTCAATTTTTATTTAATTTTTTTTTTTTTACCAGACTTTGGATTAAGCCATTAAATTAATGTAGTTGACTGGAAATTAAACCGAGAACAAGGATTTTAAGATTGGATTTTAAACTAAATATTGGATTCATGAAATATTTTCAGGATAGCAAAAATGTGATTGATTTTATGTGGCTTTTGAAAGTTTAATCTGCATCCAAAGTGACTGCAAGGTTTCTAACTTGACTTTTATGTTTTAAGGACAGACTACTGGGATCAACAATCATTTAGTGTTTCTCTACGTCCCCCAAAAGTATTGATCTCTGTTTAGCTTTTATTTAAGTGAAGACATTTTTCTGTCATCCACTTACCATATTTATTTGTTTGATGCATCATTTCAGTGTGTGTCTCTGGCATCTATCATTTCATGACATGGTAATGCATATCTGGGTGTCATCTGCATACATGTTGGTATGAGACCATACAGGACTGTAAGACTTTGGGTAATGAAAACATATACAGATTGAATAAAAAAGGACCAAGAATTCATCCTTGAGGTACTTCACACAATAAAGGGAAATGGTTTGAGCTTGCCAATTGACAGCATAATTTCTGTCTTGAATATAGTATTTAAACCAAATTTGCCAGAAAAAGCAAACCAAGCTGAAATCTTTAAATTATCATAAAGTATTATGATGAACTATTTCAAATGCAGTAGTAAAGTCTAATAAGGACAAGGGCTTTGCCAGAATCCAAGTTAAGTTTGATATCATTCAAAAGCTTTATAAGGGCATTCTCTGTACTGCAATAAGGCCTAAAACCAGACAAGAAGATGTTCAGGTATTTGTTAACTGTTAAGTTAAAAAGCTGTGAAGAAACCGTTTTTTCCCCTCAAATATTTTTCTGATAAACGATAGATTTGATTTATGCCTAAATTGTTTTATACAAATGTATCAAACTTAGCTTTTTAAATAAGTGGTTTGATTACAGCTATTTTTAGGGCTTTTGGAAAGACACTTGGCAGCAGAGAGCTGTTCACCATTTAATAATACATAATAATAACCTTTATTTTACCAGTTAAGTCAATTGAGAACCAGTTCTTATTTACAACGGCGACCTGGCCAAGAGGCAGCAACACAGGTAGACATAAAACGGCAATGATAAAAGCATAAAAAAACCACAAAACAAACATCATAAATCAATATATTTAGTACATACTATATACAACAATGAAACACAAGTACTGAGAACAATAAAAACTGTGACAAGCATTGTAAAACTAAAAGTACAGTGATCTTGTACTAGTGAATTTTTAAGAGAGGAGAGTGAAATTAAGCCAAACTTTAAGGTCTGTTCCAGAGTCCAGTCATCTGCAGTGTGAGTGATGTGTGAGGTGTTGGTGTATGTGATGAGTGTTTCGTAAATAAACAGAAATCAGTGAATTTGTCCATTAGAACAAAGAGATGGCCAATTTATCAGGGAGGACAGATCGCAGTGGGGTGTAATAAATGAAGCTCCAGCAACGAACCAGATAGCAGCGTGATAGATAACCTCTAGTTTGTGAAGGAGTTTCTGAAGCAGACCCATAAACCAAGAATCAGAAGCACTGTCATTTTAACTAGAAAGCTGTTTTGCAGAGTGCGTAATAAGGTTTTATCATGGTAAAGAAAGCCAACGTAGAATTTTACCTTTGACAGCAGGACATTTATGCAGGTTTCATATGCGAGTTTACTTTCAAACCAGATACCAAAATTGTTGTAGATTTTGACTAAATAAATCTTAGAACCATTCCAGGAAGTAATTTAAAAGGGGAATTAGACTTTTTGTAATAACTCAGTGGATAAACAGGCTAAAACCTTTTAAAAAAAATTCTGTAGGCGAGGGTTTGAGGCAACACACTGAGGAATTAATTTATAAAACAGTTTCCATAAGATCATATATGTTTATAAGTTTAAAATGGGCAATCTTTACCAAATTGGTTCTGATTGATTGTTGAGACACCTTATTTAACTGAGGTGTTGGAGCAATGGTAGCATATCTAATGTCTAATGTTTCCACTAAAAATAAAATAAAATCATTACACAGTTTTATACATTACATTTAAGAGTAATTGATATTTGTGGATTAGTGAGTTTATTGACAGTAGTCAGCAATTTGTGTGCTTCCTCTTTGATTTAGTGATATGACATAGAACTGAACAAAAAATATAGATGTCACCGTTATGTGACTGGAGCACATAGTACTATTTCATAATTTGGACACATTTTGGGTTAACTAATTAACCTTTAATTGTTTTAAGATGTGTTGTGTTCCGCCCACCCATAAATAAGCTGGTTCCAGGGAGCTCTCTCTCTCTCTCTTTCTTTTTGGACTCCTTCGTTTTGTCTCCTTTCTGACCGCCCTTGGATTTTTTAGCTTGGTTTTTCTGTCGCTCGTCCTGTCCAGGATGCATCTTGACCGGGTAGGCCGCCTCCATCCTCTGCCTAACAAGGGAGTTTTTTTGTTCACTTTTTGTCCGTTTTTTTGTTTTGTTGTTGTTGTTGTTTTTTTGTTGGTTTTCAGGTAAGTTTGGCCTGGTGGGACCAGTTGTCTTGTTTTTTCTATTTCTTTTGCTATAGGTGTTTTTTTTTTAGTTTTTCCTAGCTTGTCCGGTACCAGCAGTGGCTTCGACCGCTCTGGTTGGCCCGCTGCTGTACCTTTTTGTTCAGTTTGACCGGCTCACCAGGTCCATCTTTCATTTAATACTTTGGGGGGTTTGTGTCTTTTTTTGGGGGGGATGCGGGAATTGTGGAGGGGTCATAATCTTTGTTTCTTCACGCAGGATGCAGTTTCAATAAATTGAACGTTTGAACCCTCATTTGTAAGTCCCGTGTCCTCCTCAATATGTTGTACCCTAGGAGGTGGATGCAACAGCCACACTTTTGTTTTTGTTCTCATTTTTCACGAGCTGAACTCAAAGATCTAAGACTTTTTCTATGCACACTAAAGGCCCTTTTCTCTCAAAGATTGTTCACAAATTTGTGTAAATCTGAGTTAGTTATTGTGATAAAAATAATTAAAAAAAAGAATATCAGGTTCATCGTTAATTTTCCTGCTGTGACTCCTCTCTCAACTCTTCCTCTACAAACAGATAATATATTAAGGAGTAAATATAAATCCGTCAACATCAAAACAGCAACCGTTGATGCAGCAGAGGGAGTTCCAGAAGGGGAACATTATGCACGAGCGAAATGGCAGGATGGTCTGACTCAGGGTTTCAGTGGGGAGCGAGCGTCAGTCAGCTCTGTCTCAAACAGCGAGGACATTTCACAGGAAGTCTCTGCCAAATATGGGCGTCTCAAGCTTATTGTAATTTTAACTACATGCTCTTGCTGTGTGAAACGCTTCCATAGCAACCAAGATGACCCACCGCCGCCACCTCTCTGACTCTTTCACACGGAGACGCACATTTGTATATAGACAACTTCATTCCAGATGCTTATTTTGTGCATGACTCACCCTCATAACCTTTTTCTTAAAAGGTCTCAAACAGTCCAGAACCTTTTTGTCTCACTGCATACCCGCGTCTATGCCTCTCCCCCACTTTACCTTTATCCTGCAATCATCTTGTTAGAAAAAGCCCGTCTGTCCACGTTTCTGTGCTCCAACAGAAGGTGGAACAAAATGTTTTTGGATGTTGCATCACCCTCTGAATCATCTATGACCCAGTAGGTCTCTGCACAGTAAGTAACTAAATAATTACAGCGAGGATGAAAAACTTGAGTGTGCAGTTGCATAACTAATGATAACAGCCAGAGCTCAAGCTGTGCAATCAAGAAAAATGATGAACTGATGTTTGCTAAAGCTTGAAACTAATTACCAAGTCCACACAAGGTTGCATATATGGCGCATTAGTGAGCGCTGCTGTCAATTCCTGGAATGAATACACTTTTTCTGCATGTTTGTTTTCCATTCCCTCTGAAAGGGTTGTTTTGGTGTACAGACAGGCACAAACAATAGAGCGAATACAAGAGCGAGCTCTCACAGCGTCATGACATTTCATTAGTATGTCAGGTGAAAAGCAGCTAGCTGGGAGCTGCAGGATTGAGTCACCAGCCCCTCTCATCTTTACTCCCTCTTTTTTTTGTGTTACCTCTCTCAGCCCTGTTTGCATACCTTTCCACTCCCTTGCGAAACCGTTCTCATTTGAATTCTGCATCCAGCGGCTCACCTATCCACACACTCACACCGCTAGATGCTCTGCAGAAGCCCCGATATCTTTCAAGCATTTGTTCTTTGTGCGATGAACTTGAAAATGCTAAACAAGCCGATGAGGACGTTTTGGGACACAAACGACGCACACCCACTGTGTGCAAGACACTAAACTTTCGTCTTGAATTAGACACAGCTGCACGAGTAAACAAATGTTTTTTGCAAGACGGTGATGCTAAATTGCAGTTGCACAAAAGAATGGAAGCAGGGACAAGAAGAGAAATACGGCAGCTTTACCAGATGCTGGAGACTTGCTGCGAAGTGACTGAATGACGTTCTTTGGGGAGCATCGATTGACAGAGCCCATCTTGCCATAGGTCACGGACTTCATCATACGGCATTCTGAAAACACAAAAAAACAGATGCAGAACCGTTGAAGGCAGCACAAATGCCATCAATTTAATTAATTTGTCCAGTTTAATAGTGTAAAAACAGGGCCAATGCAATGTACTACAATCTGAAAACAGCTGGGTTGAACTCCAGGAACCTAACTCAGCAGAAATGGGTCTTAACCTTCACCGGGATCACTTAAAAAAAAAAAAAAATCTGTGTTTCAAGATGAACAGCTGTGACTCATGGAATAGAGTATGATTAAAATAAATGAGCCTTGTGATGGTACTTAGACACCCTCCCGGCCTTTTTCTCCGCAAAACTTTCCTCGTCTCCTGTTCATTAACCCAACCCCATTATAGCTCATTAACATTTCAGACGAGTGGGGAGAAGCCTGTTCCCGTGGACCCATATATGTGTGTTTATCTGTGTGTGCCGTCTGCTTGTGTGATTAGCGTACGCTGCAGCGTGTTAACATGATGATGACAGTGAGACAGAGTTGAGGCAGACGTGATAATTATAGCGATGCTGAGAGGAGGCGAAGATGTGTGCAGCTCTGACTCCGACTGTCTGTTTAGTTTGTCACTGCGTGTTCCTGTGTGTCTGTTCCTGCCTCCTGCTCCCTGTCTGTTAGTGATGATGAGGTGTCACACTCCACAGGAAACACCACAGACACGAGTGATGCATCTATGCATCGGTGTCTGGGTGTGTTTTTGGTGCATTTGGGTCTAAATGCTGACATTTAGAACATTATTCATCGTGACGAGGAGTTTTTTTTTTTGTTTTGTTTTGTTTTTTTCCAGACAGACTGGGTTCACATCTGTGAACATGTGTGTAATAATGGCTTGTTATGCTTATCTAAACAACTTTTATTTTTAGTGCCCTGGAAGCTTCTTGTTAGAGAATCAAATGTATACATTGATTCACAAACATCAAAAGGGTTCCAGTTATTTTACTGTAGAACACATTTAGTCTCCGAAAACAGCATGACATTAATATTCAGTGTTCTATTGGCTAAAATGAGACAAATGATGAAAAATAATTACAAAATTTGTTGTATATGGTATGCGATGACTTCATTTTAGCTGATTATAAAAAGGGTAAAGAGATGTTTGTGGTATGACTATTTATTGTTGGTATAGTCTGCCATGTTGTTGATTTTCTTTAGGCTGCTCCCTTCTGCAATGTTCACCACAGCAAGCAAACTTGCACGAAAGATTTGGCAATTGGTTTTTACTCCAGATGCCGTTCTTGACCCAACCTGGGCTTGAACCTGCAATCTCTTTCCTGACCAGCTTCTCACTTGTCTACTGTTGAAACAGAAAACGTATTTATTTCAACAAATAATAATTGGATTTACATAGCGCCATCACATTCTACCACCACATGCATGGAGGTAGGGTTATTAAAAGCCATCTTTTAGGTAAATACATAAATACATAAAGGAGTCCTGCACACGATGTTAAGAGCCCTCCAGAGCACAGAGCAAAGCTCAAAAAACACAAACCACCAAAAATTATCTTAGAAATTAATAAAACAAGTTGCATCCGTCATTCTGAGATAAAACCCATCTAGAAATGGATTTAAAGTACAGTTTACAAGCAAATTGTAGATTTGAAAGATCTCAACTTCATTGGTCAGTCATGATGTATTCTGATATGAAATATTAACTCTTGATAAGAAAGGGAATAAAAACCACAACAAAACAAGCAAACATTAGCAGCTCGGACAGCAGTGTGCATGCATGCTGTACTTACTTCCTGCTGAGACTAAAATCAGAATCTAATCATAATTTCCATCAGAAAGCTACAACTAGACTTGCTTTATGATTATATGAAGATAATCATTAATTAATGACCATACAGAGAGAGCTGTGGCCTTTAAGTATTATTCCATGTAGGAGGTTATTTGTGATCTTTCTCACAAGAGAAAAAGGTCATCAATAGAAGAGTAGCTAATGGAGGCTGCTTGTTGTTGTGTTTTACAATTGAAATGAGAAATATATACAAGAGAAGGACAGACAAATAGAGGGGGTGGGGTGGAGGATGGTGACCCAGGTGGGATGAAATAGGGTGATAACTGTGGAACAAATGAACCACATAAATGTTTGGACAAAAGCCAGAGGAGACACATTCATGTGGGAGAAAAAGTGAAACACGGGAGGTTAAGATGATGAGCATTGCATGGCAGGAAGAGGACAGACAACAAGCTAATCACAGATGGGACCAAATGTAACTTTGGTGAGACATGGAGGAGAGATGGACAGCAAAGAGGTACGACAGGAAAAATGGAGAGGTGGCAAAAAAAAAATGTAGCAAAGAAGGAGCTAAACAGCCTTCATAGTCTTCTGTAACTAGATAAGAGTCTTACAGAACATAAAAGCAACATTATAAAGTGACTGGCAAGCTGCTCAAATGTTATTAACAGCCGCAGTCGTCTTGTGGTAATTGTTTAGATGTAGAAAGCTCATTGGTCTTCATTCGCCCGTGACAATAACTTTTCCACTGAGGATTTCATCATGTCAAATTGTTCTAATGAGTTTTTGTTTCAGCATAATTATAGTTTGCTCTTCATTTAATTAGACTATCAGACCTCAAAGGGATTTCAATATTATATGTGTAATTTTTTTTTTTTTTAGGTTTTGGGATCATTTTTTAATGGTTTCCAATCTGTATGTGTTTGTTGGATGTTTCTAATAACATAAGGAATGTCTACAATGTGCTCACTGGTTTTAAAAACAAGTTAAAGGGGATATTTAGTGTTAGTATTAGCATTAATTAGGTCTGTCAGGATAACACATTTTGCTGGACGATTAATTGTCTCGGGTAGCACGGTGGCGCAACTGGTAGAGCTGCTGCCTCTCAGCGAGCAGGTCCTTGGTTCAAACCCCGGTCCAGGGACCTTTCTGGGTGGAGTTTGCATGTTCTCTCCGTGCATGCGTGGGTTTTCTCCGGGTACGCCGGTTTCCTCCCACAGTCCAAAAACATGCATGTTAGGCTGATTGGTAACTCTAAATTGTCCCTAGGTGAGTGAGAGAGTGAATGGTTGTTTGTCTCGTTTGTCTCCATGTGTCCCTGTGATGGACTTGCGACCCGTCCAGGGTGTTCCCCGCCCCTCGCACAGTGATTGCTGGACATGGGCACCAGCGACCCCCGTGACCCAAAATGGGATAAACGGGTAAAGATAATGGATGGATGGATGGATTAATTGTCTCAGAAATTATTGCGATAAACAATAATATTGTTTGAAATTTGACAATAATTAGTAATTATTGTCAAATTTAAGAAAAAATGTTTATTTGTTTTGTATATAGTACCTTTTTTTGACCACTGGATGACAGTATAAGACTGTTTGAACCGAAGGATGGATGGTGAGAGCAGCGTGTCTCTAAAATGGGAGGGAGGCCCTTTGACGTGACATGGGCTGTCTCTCTTTGGTTCTCAAAATGGCAGACGCTCGGTGTAGTTTGAGCTCTTTAGCATAGCATTTTTCACACAAAGCTTTTAAATAAAAAATCAGTAAACAAGTTCTCAGCTTCTTTTTGCAGAGAAAAAACTTTTTACACGAAGGTATGGGTTTCAACCGTGAATTTTGGAGCTTCGACAAGACAGAGGTTTTTTTCCCCCCGAGGTCGGCCTGTTAGCATAGCTCATAGCTTAGATTCTCAGCTTAGCTGCTTTTAACGATCCAAAAACGCGATTTTGGACGGTTAAAATGGATTTTAAAGAGAAAAGAGAAAGGGGGGGGGGTGTCAGTGAAGAGTACTGGAGTTGAGCCTTTTGTCGTCCAGTGTCTTCAGTAGAAAGAGAGACACAAAGAAACAATAAAGCCGGTAAATGACAATGAGGTCGATAAGTTTAATTTACAATGCAATTAACTGATTTATTGTTTATTGTGACAGGCCTAGCACTAACATCACTATGTTAGCTTCAAAATCCCAAAGATTGCAACAAACATATGAAAAATCCAAGATTTTACAATATGATTTTAACAAAACTATTTAAAACTGTTGTAAAACTTTCCAGAATATTAGACCTAAACAAGTTTTCCGTTTATGATTGTTGGCTGATGAGAATGAATGTAGTAAAAAAGCAATTTATAGCATCATCTTATTTAGTTCTGATTTGTTTTCCCAGCTCCAAACAGAGAATGGTACAATAGTCAGTTTCCTGGTGTACAGCTGCCTCACCACTTTCATCCAGCATCAGGTCGTCATGGTAGCGGAACTTCTCCGGTCCACAGGCTACAAAAATGTCCTCATCACCAAAGAAGTCCTGCAAACATGTCACCTAGAAATGAAGACAGACAAACAGGAGAGATACCTTAGTATGTAGACTCCATTTACAAAAACAAACATAAATACACTGAGAGCTTCCTACAGGTGTCTGAGCTTTATGTTCAGGAACAACTCAGCTACTTGCTGAGGAAAGAGACAGGTGAGAACAGCAATTTCCGTTTAGATCTGATTTTTAAAATGATAGCGCTTTAGGCACACTATCCAATTTCCTTTCTTGCCAATATGACCGTCCACACACCCAGAAACTGCAGAAGACACACATTCATCCTCACTTTTCCGTGCGCATGTTAATAAAACTGTCGTTCTCGTCTTGCGTTGAGGTGAAAAAGCAAATGGACTGTAGCTCTGAAGACAGATAAGGAGCTGTGTTCCAAACAAGTTCACTCTCCGTATCACTGGTTTGTTTATCAGTCTGTCAGGGATTATGAGCCTTCACCGTTTGCTAATTTACTGACGCACAGCAGAATGTGAACTGGACTTTTAAAGGAGCAAGTGTGGTGGGGTTTCTTCCCTTAGCAACAAAATAGAGAAAATCAAAACGTGCATTTGACTGATAACGTGAGCACGAGTGGATTTCCAGGAAAGAGTTGATAATTAGATCACAGATGAATCAGTGCATAGCGGACTAAATCCACATCTGAATCACAACTTTAATGAGTCTGTCACTCTTTGCAAGACTCCACACTGTGCAGTTAACAGCAGGCCTACAGTGACTCGCTGACAGGCATTAAATGAAACACACGGGTAGAAGTCACAGGTACAGGCTGAGTAAAGACGAGTTCATTATCACACACCAGCGAAGGCGAGGCAGCAACAAAAGTTTCTGCCCGTGTCTGCGTGTGTTTGTTTTGTCTGTAACATTCGCAAAATGTCTCATGAACTGATTTCAATGAAAGTCGCAGGTAAAGAAAAATAAATAAATAAAAATCTTTGACTATTTTTCTACAACTGGTTTAAACTACAGCCAAGCAAGAACAGACTAACCAATACAACACCAAAATGTGAGCGGGAAAGATGAAGCACCCACAAATGCCTCCAACCACATTTGCCCCACTCTGTGCCCTTGAGCAAGGCCCTTAACCTCCACTATCTTCTCCTCCGGGTGCCTTTAGATCGCAGCTCTCTGCTCCACACAGAGGGCTGTGGTAGCTCGGCGGTCTGTGGCTGCATCAGGAAAGGGTATCCAGTGTAAAAACAATTGAAAAGTCTGAGTTAGTTCACTGTGGCGACCCCAGAAGAAGGAAGCAGCCGAAAGAAGAAGAAAGAAAAAAAAAAAG